GCTCAGCTTGTTTTTTTTTTTAAAGAGAAATAATATTAATTATATCTGCCGTTGGAGAGATCTTATGAGGACTAAATTAGTACATATAAAATGCTTACTATATGCAGTATACAAAATTTCACAAAAATATATTAGCAGAAGTTTAAGGTTTTGGAGGGCTGGGGATGTTTCTTAATGGTAGAGTGCTTGGCTAACATGTGTAAGGCTCTGAATTCAATTCCCAATTCTGCTCCCCCTAAAAAAAAAAGCCTCCACCTTTTTAAAAAGAAAATTAGAAAGTGCACCAAGTCAGTAGTGTATGAAAACTCTTCTATTTACAATATCAAAATGTTATTTCTATGTGTAATTTATAGAGTTAGAAAAAAGAGGTTAAGGATGTTAAATAGAATTTAGTATAAGCTTCTAATTAATAAATCTAGTCCCAGGATAAAAGGCAATGGCAACAATAGTGGAATCTGATAGCAAAAGTGAAGAGAAAAAGGGCAAAACACCTTTAAGTCCTGGTACAAGAGTAAGAGTAGGTAGCATGTTGCATTCAAAAAAGCATAGGCTTCGAGGCAAAATACAAGAGCTTTTGCTCTCTTGTACATAAGGGTGATGTTGGATTAGGTGTTCTCAATGCAAATCTGTGAAAGATTTGACTCATCTCCGTGGAGTAAGAGCTTAGAGTTAGGCTTTGTGGCAGGATGAGTACTGGCCTTCCCAAAAGGTCCAAATGTCCTCAGTATACTACCTGACCTGGCACAAAAGGCTCTGCAGATGTGATTGTGTCTGACTCTTGAGATGGGAAGGTTTTGTTGGATCTCCCGCATGGCCCTGTATAATCACAGAGGTCCCTGTAAGAGTAGGAGAGGAGGGGTAGGGGCAGAAAAGATAGAGATGTGATCAAAGAAGCAGAGGTCAAAGGGATGCAGGCCATTTGGAAGCATCTCAAAGTTGGAAGGAACAGGGCACAGATTCTTGTCTTAAACTGCAAGAAGGAACAAAGCCTTTGACCTTAGCATACAGACTGATTTTACACTTTTGATTTCCAGAGCTATAAGATAATAAACATGTTTCAAGTCACCAAGTTTGTAGTAATTTGTTACAGTAGGAAGAGGAAAGTAATACAGGATTTATCAGTATGTTTTGCTAAAAGGAGACACATTTTTTGAGGTAATCTATGGGGTACTTGAACCAGTTTTTATCATCATATTTTTTGAATGAGCTTTTACATTTCTGGTAATTATTATTACTGATAGTGAAATAAATAAAGGCTTGAAAGCTTATGCATGCTCCAAATCTATCCCCAGTCTTCCATTTCCGGTTTTCCTTAGTTTCCTCCTCTGACTGCTTCTTACAAGTGAACTTTCCAATCAGTCAGTGATTCCACTTCACAAACTCTTGGAATAAGAGCTCAGAACCAAGACTTGTTGACACTAACATAGAAAATACTTTCACAGCGTAGGTCATCTGCAAAGCCTATGGCATGCTAGGCATACTGTGAAACTGACACATGCAGCAGGCTGAAGATCAGTTTCTTCACCCAGCTCCAAGTTGACCTCACAGTTGAGCATCCCACAACTTGTTTTAAGGAGTGGCAGGATTCATGACAGGCTGGCCTGGGTAGTTATAAAACAGGTGTGACATTGTCGGTATTTTTCACTGACATCTGTGTCATACTTTATCCTTGTTAAATTGCTTTTATTGCACTGGTACCTTCACCGGTGTTTCATTTATTTTAAGACTCACTGAACAGCCCTCTAGCTTAGGAAGGAAGGGTGGGTCGTAGGATACGGATGTGGTCTTGCCTGGATAGCTACGGCAACACCTCTCTGGACAGGTGCCTTCATTACATTTAGAATTTTCTGGGCTAGCTTTTTCCTCATGCTTCATCCTTCTTGTCTCTTGTTTTGTAACTCTGTCTCCCTAGAGATAGAGAAGCAAGGTCAAGGACGCTCAAATTTGGGTAAAGAGCAGTTGGAATAAGTAGTTGACTGGCAGAAATCAGTATTTTCTTGGCCTGGAAGACATTGAGACTAGCCTTAGTGTAGCTAAATCTTGAAGGAAATTAGACCCATAAGAATCTAAAAGAAATTAAGCAATGAATGCTCATGTACCCAATTATTGCAAAATTAAGCCAATTGATGCTCTATGATAAATATCTAAAATTAGTTTAAATTAATTTGGCTAAAATTAAAATTGCCTTACAGAAGAAAGAAAAAGTTCTGGGTACTTAAAGTAACCTTGAGTAGAAGCAAGCTACTAGTGGGTCACTGATGGCCCAAAACACCCATGACAAAGAGATAGTGAAACATGATTATTGAAGCAAAATAATCGTAGCCCATCAGGCCATCGTTTTAGAAAGTATGTGCTCTTTATGAAAGGATCAGTAATGCATACCTCCTATGACATGTCTTTTTGAACTGGATTGCCTACTATTTACTGAATATCTACCTATGTCCAAGGCACCATAGGGAGTTAATACATCTTATATGATTTGGTGTCTGAAATAATCGGGCATTTTTGTTCAAAGCTCTTTAGTTAATACAAGTTGTGAACTATAAACCTACATATATATTTATTTAATAGTTAAAGAGAGGTTTAATAAATAATTAAAAAATCAAAACAGGTTTAAACCTGCTAAGGTGCCGTTGCATTTTCTTCCTTTTTTTCTTTCTCTTCCTTTCCTTTTTCATGGACTGAGTCCAGGACCATTGCACTGAGCTATGTCCCCAGCCCTTTTTATTTTATTTTTTAATTTTGAGGTAGATTCTCATCTGGTTGCCCAGTATAGCCTCGAATGTATGATCCTCCTGCCTCAGGCTCCCGATTAGCTGGGATTATAGGTGTGTGCCACTTCCTTTTTTTCTTTTTTCTTTTCCTCCTTCTAAGACTATCAGCTCATAATTTAGCTTCTTTTTCAGCTACAGAGTCCCATGTTTTAAGAAAAAGTACAGGAATTAAAGTCATACTTAAAATACTGATAAAGTATTTGTATATGATTATTCACGTTGAAAAAATTTTTACAAATATTGCTGAATCTTGAGCTCATCTGAGTTATCCCATAGCTGATAGAATAACTTGGGAACAAGATGCTTTTATTCCATTAAAACCATTGTTTTAATGAAAATGATACATTTCAAAAACCATTTTAAGAACTGTGCAGCAAATTTAAACATTTAAAATTGTGGTAGACTTTTAAAAGCATCTAGCCTTGAGCCAGGCATGGTTGCTCATGCTTGGAAAGATTGATGTGAGAAGATCATGAGTTTGAGGCCAGCCTGGACTACATAAAAAAAAAAAAAAAAAAAAAAAAAAGTATCTGGTCTCTGCTTTACTTATTTTTTACCCTCATTGGCTGATCACCCCACAGAGCCTCTTAAACTGTTTGTGACCCTGGTTTGCAGCATAGTTGCTTGGTCCAGTGTGGGCAGTGCCTGCAGAACATTCTTAAAGTCTTTGGAAATAAAATAGAAATAAAAATTAGCAGGGCTACTAATTAGAAAGGAAAGTATTTAACTGACTTCTATAGGTGGGGACAGATGTTAACAGGCTCAAAGGGCAAGAAGACTTTGCAGGTTCTCACCCATCCAGGAGAATCACAGAACTGGTGCCTGGGATTCTCCTGCCCTCAAGTTCTTCTGCCTATTCAGACAACTTCCCCCTTTCCTTCTGTCTCTCCTTTGCTGGGAGGAGAGGTGACCAAGAGCTATATATTTCTGCACAGCAAAACAGCAATAAGGCGGTCACTGTTAGTGCTTCTAAATGATGCACCAGGTTCTCAGCCTTCAGTATTATTTATTTTGCAATTTTATTTTATTTTGTTTTGGTACCAGGGATCGAACTTGGGTCCTTGCGCTTGCAAGGCAGGCCACCGAACTGCCAAGCTAAATCCCCGGCCCTTTGCAATTTTTTTTTTTTAAAGTTGCATGGTACATAAATGGTTTTAATTGTATCCACAGATTTCAGAGCATGCACATTAGAGGGCCTAGCCATTGAGGAATAAAAAGGAATGAAGTACAATTAAGAATGAAGGAATCAAAAGTGATCAAGAAAAGATGAATATGCATTTCTAATTATAAGCCAGTTGTCCAGAATGATTAGAACTACTATGTGTCACAAATATACACTAATAAAAAAGAATGAAGATAAGATCACAAATGACATTATGTATGAAGTAAATAGAAACTGTGACTCAGTTTACTAGCATTGTTATTTACATAGAACATGTAATCATGCATGTATTATATAATAAAGTATATATAGAATTTAAATTATTTTATAAGAAAGAGGCTTTTTTAAAAAGTTTTTCACTCACAGTAAGAGTAGCCTTTATTTTGAGTAAATAAGTGTTCACAAACAGATGAGCCTGTGATTTATTTTGCCAAACTCAAAGCCTGGAATAATGTCAGGCGCTTCACTGACTAAGATAGAATGTGCCAGAAATTTTACACTGTAGTCCCTCTACATCCCTCTCCCCAATAAAGAGAAATAATAGAATTTTGAGAAGCAGTGGATATTTATTAAGAGAAATACTGAGAAGACAGCAATTCCTGTGGTCTGGAGAAAGGGATAAGCACAAAGTGTTGTGCCACGTCTACAAAAGTCTTCATATTCCACTTAGGGACACCTTCCTGAGCAATGCCACAGGCCCAGCCACATCTTTCTTTGCCAAAAATCTTTCAGCCTTAATAACTGGGTAATTTACCCCTGGGAACATATTTCCTATTTTATAACAGTAACTGATGAGGAAATGGATTCACTTTTTGGAAAACTGCTTTACAAGCAAATATGCTGTAACATTTTTATAAAGCTAGGGATACAGATATTATCATTAGTCATATTTTCTGTTTTAAAAAAATCTGAAGGAAAGATGTGAACAAAACATGTCTATACTTGAGTAGCAAGATGCTAGGCATTGATATGTGCAATAAAAGCAATCAAAGCAGGCTAAGACATTACTAAGTACTCTTTCTTTGCATTACACAAAGATCAAAGTATGTGCTAACTCAACGGCCTCAGCGCACTGACTGTGCATTTACTAATTTAAAGTATACATCCTGATTTCTCAGGAGCTCCTGATGAGTTCCTTGTTCTTTTATTTTTCCATTGTGCAGAACCACAATCAGATCTGCATTCTGTATTGTGGAGAGTCTGTGAGCCACCACTAGGCATGTCCTCCCTCTCCGGGCTTTATCAAGGGCATGCTGAACTGCCTGGAAGAGACAAGGCATGGATCATTGGTTTGGGTCACATGTTAATAAGCTTGCTTGAGTCAAATCCACTAAGGTAATCTAATAACATTTTTTGTTGTTTTGCTTATTCCCAAAGCCCCACTTTATGAAATAGTTACCCTACCCAATAGAAACCTAGAAAAATAAATTATAAATATTTTAGCACTTTCAATTGGAAAAGCATCTGTGACAATGAATAAAAATTAAATGTTTGTATATGTGAGCAAATAGTTTCAAACTCAAAGCCAAGAAGTATTACTTTTTTTTTATTAATATTTGGGACTGAAACCAGGGTCTTCTCACTGAACTGTATCCCCATCCCTTTTAAATTTTTCCTTCTTCTTTTTTGGTACCAGGGATTGAACTCAGGACCTTGCACTTACGAGGCAGGTGGTGACACCAGTGAGCTAAATCCCAGGTCCAATTTTTCTTTTTTCTTCTAAATTTCCACATTATCCAAACTGAACTCAAACTTGTAATCCTCTTGCCTTATCTTCTTATAGTGCTAAGATTATAGGTGTGCACCACCACACCGGGCAGGAAGAGTAGTATTTCTGTATGTGAGTAGAATTGTCTAATATGTTCAGCTCATTTTCTTTCAGTTCACAATGAGGTTATAATGTGTAGAAGAACGGGAGTGGATAGTGAAAATCAATACTTCTTAGACTTATTAAACTGTACCAGTGTTAGATATCTCATAGAAATCCTTGCTTAATAACCCCATAAGATGTAGGTATTTTCATTTTTCTGAGTGAGCAGCCCAGATATGTTAGGTTTCCAAACAAGAAAGACAGTCATCCACAAATGTCCTGAGTGCCTTAACTCATGGATTCTTTTTTTAATTTTTTTTCTTTTTTGGTACCAGGGATCGAACTTGGGCCCTTGTGCTCGTGAGGCAGGTGGCGGAACCACTGAGCCAAACCCCCTACACAACTCTTGGATTCTTAAGTCAGAGAATGTAGGGAAGTTACTTTACCTTCCTAAACCTTCAAACACTAATCTGTAAAATGGACATTTTAGCAAAAGAAGTAAATTCACAAAATTATGAGAATTAGTATAATAGTATATAAGGTATGATTGAAAGATGTAGTAAATTTTTAAATTAAAAAAATAGTAAAGGACTGGGGATTTAGCTCGGTGATTCTGTTGCCTGCCTGGCAAGCGCAAAGTCCTGAGTTTGATCCTCTGTACCAAAAAAAAAAAGAAAAAAAAAAGAAAAAGTAAAATGATTGCAGTAAAAGACACATTGACTCCCCTAAATACTCTCCCTCCTTTGGATGCACTTATTCCCTTGCTCTAGCCACTTTATAAAGTAGTTCTGAAAGTCCTATTTCAGGAGTGTCTTTAGTTGTACTGTCTCAGCCGCTTCCATGTCCTAAAAAAATTAAAAATGTAGACTTTTCCAGGTCATTTCGATTTTGGGGAAGAACCAGATGGTGCATGGTGCCAGGTCTGGTGAACAACGTAGATAAGGACATACTGTAATGATTTTATAAGCCTGTCTTTCTGTTGGCTGGATGCCGCTCAACAGCAGTATTCACCATGTTTTTGATCACATCTTGGAATGACACTCACAAAAGAGACTTCCAGAACTGCTTTAGTGGCAAGAACAGTGAGATAAGTGTGTTTGAAGCAAGGGGGAGGTAACGTGAGAAAGATCAATGGCATTGTGTCTTTTACTGCAATAATTAAAAAAAATTAAACTATATGTTGATCACCCCTTATATAGGGAACACTTGATAAACACTAATGATTATCATCCACATAACCAGTATTTGTTTACTAAAGAGGTGCCTATCTGTGCAAGAAATGACTTCAGGGGCCAGGACATAGCATAACGAGACATCAGAGGAGCACACTGTGTCGACATATGGTCTTATGTCTTTTTTGCTTGTTTCTTGTTCCAATAAAGTTAATACTCTGGAGAAGGAAGAATAACTAATAGGCTCGGACACTGAAGTGCAGATTATTCTTTTCACATATAGATTATTTTATTAATTGGTTTGGTATCACTGGCATAACATTAAAATAGAAAATTTTCTAGGGTTCTTTCTTTTTTTTTTTTTTTGGTTCCGGGGATCAAACTCAGGCAATGGAGAACCACTGAGCTAAATCCCCGGCCCTAGGGTTCTTTCCTTGATTGGAGAAACACTTCAACAATTGGACCCTGTCCAATAATGAGGCCAATTCAAGTGAGAAAACCTTTCTAGGACAAGATCCGCTCTGTCCCAACTCTCTCCTACTCTCCAAATACCTACTGAATTTAAGGCCAATGCCTTCATTAGATCTGGTGACCTGATGACTACAATTCTTTTAGGACTTTCTTTTCCCCCAAAAAACCTGGGTATCTTCCATGATACTGCATGCTCATATCTGTTATTGTATTTCAGATGAAAGAAGAGGATCTTACCTTTTCACTCTCATTATCAAGGGCTGAAGTGGCCTCATCCAATAGTAAAATTTTTGGTTTCCGTAGAAGAGCCCTTGCAATAGCTAGTCTTTGTTTCTGGCCACCAGAAAGCTGTGCTCCTTTCAGTCCCACTTTTGTGTTGTATTTCTGTTATAGGAACATGCAATTAAGAAATCAAACCTTGGCTATTTAAATTAGCATGGCAACTGCGAGTGAGAATCATATAAATATTTCAAATTTTGCTACTCTTGAAAATCTGTGTCTCAACCAGTGCTGGAATCTATTCCTGGGTCTTGTTGCGAATAAATGCTAAATGAGTAGAAAATACTACCACCCCATTTAAGTATCTAATCTGATCCCAAAGAGCAAACCTTTGCCATTATGCTTTTACAGAGGTGTTTTTCAAATTAAAGCATAAGAAAAAAATTGTTGGCAAGAAAAAGTTCCCAGGAAACACAGTTTTTTCATTAAATTATATTTCCTTCTATTTTCAGGTCAAAATGATTCAAACTATTTTAAAACAAGGAAATGGAGTTCTCTGCCTTTGGCTTCTGCTAAGCCTCTGGGGACATCCCCCTGCAGATGCTAGGATGTGGTTGTCAGTGAGGCTTGCACCTCCCTGCAGATGAGGATGGCATCTTGCCATGGTCCATTTACTTTTTCTTACTACCAAGTGCTCTTGGTGACATTTAGTACATCCCCTCCTTACTTACTAATAACTTTTTCCTGTGATGTTTCCTTCTATGGCAGTGTAACTAAGGAACATTTCATATCCTGAAGCCATCATGATCCCCCAAATCATGACTGGTCAGTCCATTTGGGGAAAGCAGTTTCCTGCTTGCTTTCTAGACGGTTCCACTGACTTTACTTCCCCCTCATGACTTCTCACTGCTTTCTAGTAGAACTTGGAAATTGTCTAAGGAACATGTATCAGTGGGATCCAGACAAGAATGTATGGATGGATCAGCACCACTGAGAAAGCAAGTCCTACTGCACAACCTTCCAGAGGAGAATCTTGTAGCAGAATCTCTCAGAAGGTGCTGTGGATGATTCATGTGTGGTTCATTTTGTTTTAGTACTGGGAAGGAGTGCAACTGAACCGCCTTTCTCCCCACATCTTCCTGATTTCAGGAGGTGTGTGTAGAACGGCTGTCCAGAGCTTGTGACATATCCTTATAACAAATGTATGTACCCTGTCTATCCCTGGAAATAGCTAACTGATCTCCCAAACTCTGTCATTTTATATTGTCATTTTCATGCCCGATAGATATGTAATGCCAGACATCTTCCCTATTCAAAAAGCTTTAGTGACTCCTTAGAAACTGTCAAGGTAAAAATATCTTTGCTTTGTATTCAAATACAGTTATACTTTAACATGATCATCAAATATTATATTTTATGTTCTACTCCCTAGTCTAACTGCTTTATCATTCTGTGAACACATAAGTAGTTTCTGTCTCTATGGTTCCACTTGGACCATATCTACTGCCTCATTTAGAGAATGCTCTGTTATATCCTTGACTACTGATGTTCTAGCTGATCAATATTCAGGTCACCTCTAAATTCCATAAGTGCCTGTCTGAACTGCCAGCCTCTGAGCCACTCTCTCTGAACTCAGTAGTTTGTTTACATTCTTGATGCATTCCAATAATTTGTGTATGTGTTCATTTATGTTCATCTCAACAATGTAGAATTATACTTTATTTGTCTTGGCTATCTTCTCTACATAATGGCCCAGTGGTTTGCAAAGAACAAGGCTCAGTAGCTGTGTATTGAGTGAACAGTTGCATGAGTATTAGCATAGGGGAATAAATATAGGAAAAGCAGATTTTGAGTAAAGAGGACTTGGCAGAAGGATCAATCCATAAAAATAAAGGTAAAATATATCTTCAGTTAGCAAAAGTGTGGCAATCACTTTAATTTGAAGAGGATTAATATCTTGATGTGTAATGTGTGAAGACTTTCTTCCTGTGCCTGCTTGAAGTATGGAGATATGTTCTATATTCAGTGTTATTTGAAGAGCTGAACTTTTCTTTCAGTTTTGTTTTTTTAGGTTTACATTGATTGTGTGGCCTTATATTAGGAGGGGATGCTTAAATCCATTTATGTGGTCTAGAAAATTGATTCTTTCAAAGGAAATACATTACATCACAAAGTTCACTTTTATTTTTCTTCCCCAAATTCCTAGTAGAGAGAGTTGTAACTTGTTCCTAAGTGTCACATCCATACTCTGTTTCCTGGCTGTGGTGGTTGCTTGGACTGCCCTTTGGGTAGACTGGAATCTGCTTTTGGACACTTTGGGCATTTTGTTTCCATCTCTGTAACCTACAGCCACCCTACATAATTTCCCAATCCCACTTCAGTACATCACAAAGTACCCAAGTTCCAACACCGATTCTCTGGACAGCTTTAGGGAAGCTAATGAAATCCTTATCTGTAAAATGGCCTGACTATATCATCCCGCTGCATTATGTTGGAGTTTAGCACTTTGTTACTAGAGTGCTAGAAAGATGAAAGGTTGTTTTCTTCACTTCATTTTCCTTACCTGAATCAACATAAGAGAGCAGCTTTGTCTTACCCATAGTACCAGCCTAAGGCATTACAACAATGTGGTTTTTCTAAGGAATCTTTAAATTTATTTATTTATTTACTCAGTTTTTTTGGTACTGGGGATCGAACTTGGGTCCTTAAAGGCGCTTGAAAGGCAGGTAATGGAACCACTGAGCTAAATCCCCAGTCCTCTGATTTTAAGTATTCGTGATTTTTTTTTTGGTACCGAATTTCCCTCTAGTTGATTCTACAGTTTGTTTTTTTTGTTTTTTGGAAATAATGATAGGAAGGTAAATTAAAGTTAAACAAAAACACTGAGAAGTAAGCTATTATTTTTAAATTTCTAAGTCAATAACATTTTTGTTTTAAAGTCTATTTGAAAAAAGCACAATAAATCTTTGCATGTATAGTTTTGGAAAATTTGAGAAATATGAAATGAAATGAATGAAAGATAGTAATATAAGAATAAAAGTCAAATGGTAAAAATATGAAATTGATAGCACTTTACATAAATTAAAACACACTATCAGGTTTATGTGGATAGCATCTGACTGTGAATTTATAATGTAGAATACCTTGGTTAGAAAAGGTAACTGCCATAGAAAGACACAGCACTGCATTATTTAAAGAAAATATGTTAATCATTCCAGTATATTTAGTACTGCAGAATCTTACCAGAATCCAAGAAATTGTATGAATGGCCTGTTTCTAGTTGTAGGCATCATTTAATGTGAAGCCAAGCTGTAGAGGGAAGATCTGATAGTTTTAAAGGTAGTATGATAGAGGTTATGCTCACCATTAGCCTCCACCAAACAACAGAGGTCTACATTAATCGTTTGATGTACTGGTTGTGAAACTCCTATTTCCTTTTAAAATTGATTATAAAATCACTTTAGAAGTATAACTTCATACACATTTGTTTTTGATTAGAAGATGGTGTTTTTGTTTGTATTGTAGATACAGACACTCAGATTTAATCATTCAGAGCTGTGTAATTACTTGTCCCTGTGTACAGCTCTGTGTACTATCCGTGTTCACTATACTAAACCCAAGGTTTTTTATTTTTCTGAGGTTTTGTGTCAGTTGTTGCAACCAATACAGAGATCAAGGTAACAGGAAAGGCAGCCAAGGTTCCTACACTTCAGAGGGGAGGGGAGGCAGAAAACAAGTAAATAAACTCTCAGGGTAAGTTCAGACTGTGATAAGTGCCCGAAGACAGTGTGATGGGGACCAGCAATTGAGGGGACTGGTTTAAATAGGGTGGCCAGGGAAGGCCTCTGCAAAGGGTGGCATTTGAAAGGGCTTGGAAGTCAAGGAGCTGGCTATACAAAAAGCCAGAGAGAGGAAGATCCAGGATGAAGAAACCACATGGGCAAATGTCCTGAGATAAGGCTTGAGTTAGCATGCTCATGGGACGGAAGATAGCGTGGCTGCAGCAGACTGAGCAGGTAGTAAGGCTGGAGCCGTAAGGGCAGCTGGGCTGGACTGTAGAGACCTCATCAGCCCCATGAGGAGTCGGGACTCATTCTGAGTGCAAAGGGGAGCCAGGAGGCGGGAGGGACACGATCTAATTTATACTGTAAAGAATCCCTCTGGTTGCTGGGAAGAAGAAGGGGTAGAAAGGGGAAGCCTGCAAGGCAGATTATGAGCCTTCTGCAGTCCAGAGGGGAGCTCAGTGGTGGTGTGGACAAGGTGGAGTGTAGATGAATAGAAGGGGAAGAATTAAGATGTGAAAGCTAATTCAGGGAATATGAATGCATTCCAATATTGAAAAAAGTAGTTACATGAAAATCTCAAAAACGTTTTTTTTGGACACTAACTTTGTGCTAGATGCTGGCAATGAATAACTGGTATAATTCAAGGGATACATAAAAACAACCACTTTGGCCCAACAACTATTTAGGCTTACTTGGCAGGATTGCAGATGTTTTCTTACCTCGGGGAGACTGTCAATGAAAGAGTGGATATTTGCTGCATTTGCGACTTCTTTGATCTCATCTAAGGACACCACGCGGCTGTTATCACCATAGGCAATGTTCTCAGCGATGCTACAGTTGAACAGCACAGGCTCTTGAGAAACGATGGCTATTTGGGAACGGAGCCACCGTACATTCAATTCTTTTGCATCTACACCATCAAACAGCTGCCAAAAGCAGAATGGAGAATGGTATGTTAAGATCTGACAGCAATATCATGTCACAGTTCACTGTATTCAAACACTTCAAGCATATACAAATCATAACAAGGTTAGGAATTCAAGCTATTTCAAAGTATAATGTTACCCAAGGAAAGCTCATAAATCATATGTTGTGTAAAGCAAATAGCATATAATTCACTGAAGTGTTTCTTCCAAACTTATCTGACTGGCATAGAAATGGCCACATATTCCAGAGACCTGCCAGATGCGAGTAGTAAACCCTGGTGCTCTGTTCTGAATTCAAATGTGATATGACCAACCTCTCCCTTCTTTGTAATAGGACTCATTTATTGAAGTCCAAAGAGAATAGGTAAAAACCGATCAGAAATCCACTTGTACAGATATGTCATTTTGCTCATGGCCATGTTATGCACAGGGACATATAACAACATTTAGCTGATATATGATGAGTATGCCTAGTATATGATGGGAACTCTTTTCTTTTTTTTTTTTTTTTTT